CGCGCCCACAGTGTGCACCTGGCAAAAAAAAAAAAAAAAAAAAAAAAAAAAGCCAAAATTTAGCATTTCAGTTCAACCCTGACTTCAAGTTGACTCAGTGGGCACTCACAACTGGAAATGGGTTTAAGTGTTAGTAGAAAAACAGTACCCCATGTATGTCTTTCTGGCAATAGTTCTGTTGTAAAGGGGATAGGGTGGGAGGGTTATTATTTGCATAATTACAAAGTCACTCATGCAGTCTGTATATGAAAAGCACTTTCTCAGTTTTGGTACAAACAGGTATAAAAATTTAAAAGTGACCTCAAGGGTCAGGGATTTAGCTTAGTGGTTCTGCCACCTGTCTCGCAAGTGCAAGATCCCAAGTTCGGTACCCGGTACCAAAAAAAAAAAAAGTGCCTCAAAATGTGATTCCTATACAAATCTAGTTCCTAGGAATTCATGTTCCTAAGTTCTAGATGAAGCCCAACTCAATAATAAAAAAGAAACTGATGGCTGGGGATTTAGCTCAGTGGCATCATGCAAGGTCCTAAATTCAATCCCTGGTACAAAAAAAAAAAAAAAAGTGGGGGAAGCTGAGGCAGGAAGATTATGAGTCTGAGGTGATACAATAAGACCCTGTCTCAAAAACCTCAAGAAAATAAAACCAGCCAACAAAAAAGTTAGAGAACACTGCTATCAATAAAGAGTGTTTTGGGGCTGGGGATTTAGCTCAGTGGCACAAGTGCGGGGTCCTGAGTTCAATCTCCAGTACTAAAAAAATAAAGAGGACCAGAGATTTAGCTCAGTGGTTCCACCACCTGCCTCGCAAGCACAATGTCCCAAGTTCAATCCCTGGTACAAAAAAAAGGAGTGTTTCTCTTGGACTTTTCTTTCTTTTTCATCACTTCTTTTTTTGAGGGGTACTGGGGATAGAACTCTGGGTCCACTGAGCTAAATCCCCGGCCCTTTTTCATCACATTTTTTTGGGGGGGCAGTGCTAGAGATTGAACCTAGGACCTTTGCGTTGAGTTACATTCCAGTCCTTATCTTTCATTTTGAACAGGGACTCAAACTGGTGATCCTCCTGCCTCAGCCACCCAAAGTGCAGGATTTACAAGCGTGTGTCCCCATGCCAGCTTTCTTCACTACTTCCAATGGAGCTGTCATACTCCAACCAAAGGGATTAGCTGAATACAATATAGTGTTTTAACCTCTAAAATGTACGCCAACTACCAAATACAAAAGCAGAGAACAGAGAAAATCAGCATAAATCATTGACTAAAAACTACTTATCTTGGAATTTTATTTTAGAAAGTTCTGTATTAATTCCACATTTGAAAAATCTACTGGTAATTGTGGGTGTAAAAGTTCTCATAAAAACAGCCCCTATACATTCTTTTCTTCTAATAGAAATGTGAATTTTATTTATCTATCTATTTATTTATTTATTTGTACTGAGGATCAAACTCAGGACCTTCCGCTTGTGAAGCAGGCGGTGGAACCACTGAGCCAAATCCCTGGGCCCAGAAATGTGAATTTATTCTTGCTGTTATATGTAAGAGTAATGTTTAGTGAAAGAACAGAAATTCTAATAATTGACTGACAAGGGAAAATCATCTGTTTTTAAGGCACTGCTCTTTATCTCCCCGAAATACGGCAAAAAACAGCAAAGCAAAGTCAATTATGATTTTTTGAAATTGGACATGGGAGCAAACAAATTCTCCTCCCCCTCACCTTGATTCTCTCTGCCAAGTTGCTGAAAGCCACTATCATATTCCCAGGCTTATTTATTTTTTTCAGGACTCGTACTGTCTGTGCAAAGAGAGTTGGGGAATAGGAACGTCCATCCTTGGGCACAGTGGCACAGAAATTCTCCTCATCCCTGGAAGGACAGCAGGAGAAACTGTGTATCAGAGAGTAGGTCAAGAGAGTTAAGAGATGGGTCTGAATCATTCTCATCATTTATAAGCCATGAATGTTCTTTTTATCTACAAAGACTTCTGATTTTCTAGGAAGAACTCTATCAAGTATCCCATGACTGTAAAAGAATACTACTTTCCCAAACAATAGGATAACCAGTAAAGTTTATCTTTGCATAGGTCAAGGAGAATGTTGGAAATCCTCAACAATGTCCCACAGATTATACAATATCTCCCCATTCAAAACCACAGAAGATTCCTTCATCAATCAACTGGAAATGACCATTTCTTTTCTGCTTCCACACAATAGCCAACCAGTCACTCTACTATCAAAACATTAGCATCCCCTCTTATTTGGCCAATTCCAATCTCATTTACCCAAGATTTAGGTAGATAGTGCAGATATCTGATACAAGCTGCTGGGGTTTAAAGTCAAATTCACTGAAGTCCTTCACTTTTAAGGCACCCATCTTGGGGCCAACCAGGTGCTGCAGGAAGTAGTTCAGCATGGAGATGATGCGCTCAGCCAAGAATGGATGCACGAAGAGGGATTTGATCTCTGGAAAAAAATAAAGTCTCTGAAAACTCAATGCATTATAATCCTTTATTTATGTCTAGTTTACTTGGAGATCTCAGGACTATTTTTTTTCAGTTACATAAGTAATATATTTTTCACTGCAGAAAGTATAGATGAAAAAAGAAGCAAAAAGAAAACAATAACTGGGCATGGTGATTTCATGCTCTAATCCCAGCCATCTGGGAGGCTGAGGCAGGAGGATTACAAATTTGAGTCCAGCCTGAGCAACTTAATGAGACCCTGCCTCAAAGTTTCAAAAAAAAAGGGGGCAGGGGAATGGATATGTACCTCAGCATGAAGGCCCTGGGTTTAATTCCCCATACTGAAAGAAAAAAATAAACAAAAACTCTTGCCTAGAGATAAACAGTATTAATATTTTCCTATACATTCGTCTACTTTTTCTGGCTATATTTATATAACATATCTTAAAAGCAAAAATATTATATTGTACATATTCTATAACTTTTTCCAGTAACTATATTATAAATATCTTACCATTTTAGTAAGTATATATTCCTGTGCTGTCCAATGTAGTAGCCACGTGTGCTGTAAAATTTTCTTTTTTTTTTTTTGAGACAGAGTCTCATTCTGTTTTTTGTACTGGGGAATGAACTCGGGCTCTTGTGATTGTGAGGCAGGCAGCAGAACCACTGAGCCAAATCCCTGGACCCAGAGTCTCATTTTGCACTTCAGGTTGCCCTTGAACTTGCTATTTAGTGCAGGCTGGCCTGAACTTGTGGTGCTCCTCCTGCCTCAGCTTTCTGAGTGTTGAGATTACAGGAGTGTGCCATTATGCCTGAATTTAATTAATTAATTAAAAAAATAATTTAATTCTTTAGTTGCATGGCTCTGTGGCAGTGAACCTATGGCACATATGTTGCAGTGGCCTATTTGTTATCACTGAAGGCTCTAAAAGATTGCGATCATTGCCCTAGCCATATGTAAAGTGTTCATCAATGAGGTTTGAAGGGTGTGTATAGTATTGGAGAATCCAGACTTATAGAACATTCTCACCATCACAGAAAATTCTATAGAGTAACAAGGATGTTGTTTACTATGGCCACTGAACGTTCCAGTTGGTAACTGCACTATGAGTTATTTAATCTGTCTTGTGTACATTTTGAAAATTTTCAATTTTTTACTATTATAAAAGTCTTACTTATTGATGAGCTTTATGTGCACAGCAGTCCCCCCTTATCCACTGCTTCTCTTTCCACATTTTCAGTTAGCCATGGCTAATCACGGTCATAGAATACTGAACAGAAAATTCTACCCTTCTGAGTAGCTAGGACTACAGGCATATCACTGTACCTGGATGAAAGGAAAACTCTAAATAAACAATTTCTAAGTTTTAAATTGCATCATCCTCTGAATGGTGTGATGAAATCTTGAGCGGTCCAGCTCCATCTCACTTTGCATGTAAATCATCCCTTTGTCCAGCATGTGCAGGCTGTACACATTACCTGCACATTAGTAGGGTTCCCAGTCATTAGATGGACTGTTGTGAATATCACAGTGACCTGTATTGTACTTAGTACTGGCTCCACACTGCAAAAGTATTGATACTGTCAATTTTTTTTGTTTATTTGTTTTGTTTTGTTTTGTTTTTTTGAGACAGGGTCTCACTATGTAGTTGCTACTGACCTGGAACTCACTATGTAGTCCAGGCTGGTCTCGAACTCACAGCGATCCTCCTGTCTCAGCCTCCCGAGTGCTGGGATTAAAGGGGTGCAGTACCACGCCCAGCTTCATACTGTCAATTTGTATGTGACAAAAAGAAGCCAGAAAGTGCTTCAAGTGAAAAAAGTGAAAGTTCTTAATAAGAAAAAAAAAATCACACGCTGCTAAAATCTATGTAAGTTACTACTCTGTAAGTTAATCTCTGTGCATAATTCATAACTTAAATTTTATCATAGGTATGTACGTAAGGGAGAAAACAATATATACAGGTTTGGTACTCTCAGTAGTTTCAGACATTTGTAGGGGTTCTCGGAACATATCTCCTGAAGATAAGCAGATGTTTATATCCTATAGACTCATTACTCCATAACAAATTTATAAGGAACTGCTCGGTCACAGGGCATGAAATCCAAAAAAAAAAAAAAAAAAAAAAAAAAAAAAAAAAAAATTACATGCTAAGTTTAGTAAGACAGATAGATAGCATGATTACACTTGTAGTATACTGTTCTTGATTTTGATTTTGATTTTTTGGTATCAGGGATCTAACTCGGGTCCTTGTGCTTGCGAGGCAGGCAGCAGTACCACTGAGCTAAATTCCCAGCCCCTTGATTTTTAAATTTTATCCATTATCTATTCTTTTTCTTTCGTTTTTTGGGTACTGGGGATCAAACTCAGGACCTTGTGCTTGCAAGGCAGGTGGCAGAACCACTGAGCTAAATCCCAGGCCCTAGTTATAACCTATTGATTCTACTATAGATGAAGATTTAGCTCTCATTTCTTGCTCCACTTTGCTTCCTCAAATACAAATCCCAGTAAATAACCAAATTTTTGTTTTGTTTTGTTTGAGACATGGTCTCACTATGTAGTTGAGACTGACCTGGAACTCACTACATAGCCCAGGCTGGTCTCGAACTCACAGCGATCCTCCTGCCTCAGCCTCCTGAGTGCTGGGATTACAGGTGTGCACCACCACGCCCGGCTAATAACCAAATTTTTGGCTAAACACTTTAGAGTTTATATCATTAAGATTATGTAAATATCATTCACAGCAAAGCATGTGGTGACCTTTTCATTTTGTTGTTTTGGTACGGGGGTGGTGGTGGTGGTGGGGATTGAACAAGGGACCTTGAGCTTGCGAGGGCAGGTGGAGGAACCATTGAGATAAATTCCTGGCATGTGGTGTCCTACCCTTAAAAAAAAAATTTTTTTTCCAGTACTGGGGATCAAACCCCTGGCCTTTGCACTGAGCTGTATCCCTAATCTTTTTAAATTTTTTTCATTGAGTTTATTGGTACTTTTTAGGCATACAGTACAGTTACATTCATCGTTAGGATCTTGTACCTTTATATGACATTATCTTGGTTCCCATTTTTTCCCATACCCCTGCCCTCCCTTCACCCCCTCCATCCTTCCGTATTTACATCATCATTTACACCATTTTTTCCTTTTCTCATATCTTTTCTTTTCCCACCCTTCCTACTTCCCTTATTCCTTTAGCCCTTTTCTTCCTATTCACATTATCAATGATACAATATGAACCTTATTTATACTTTTACTTTTTCACACCAGAGAAACTGTTCGCTATTTACATGTGTGTGTCCTATTTATTTCACTTGAGAATATGGCCTCAATGTGCATCTATTAAGCTATAAATGAACCTTTTAAATTTTTTGACAGGGTCTCACCAAATCAAATTACCCAGGCTGGAGCTAGGGATTTAGTTTAGTGGTTCTGCTACCTGCCTTGTTGCCTTGTTTTGTTTTGTTTTGTTTTGCTTTTGGTAGTACTGGGGATGGAACTGGGTCCTTGTGCTTGCAAGGTAGGCGGTGGCACTACTGAGCTAAAACCCTGGCCCTGCTGCTTGCCTTATAAGCACAAGGTCCCAAGTTCAATTACCAGTACCAAAAAACAAAACAAAACAAAAAACCAAATTACCCAGGCTGCCCTTGAAGTTGTAATATTTCTGCCTCGCCCTCCCAGAGTGCTGGGATTATAGGAATGTGCTGTAATTCCAGGTTTACATAGTTTCTTTTTACTTTTATTTTTTGGTACTGGGATTGAACTTGGGTCTATGTACTTGTGAGGCAGGAGGTAGAACCACTGAGCTAAATACCAGGCCCATAGTTTCTTTTTAATACAATTTTTTCATTTGCTTATTTTCACAGTACCTAGTACTAAATCCTTTCCAAACTCTCTATAAGAATTATAACTGCAATATGGTCATTCCTGACTATTCTGTAATTTTTTGAAACATTCTTTCTGGAGGTTTCCCTCCTTTCTTCCAACCTGGACTGCTCAATCTATACGTCACTGTATCCTCATTCCGGGAATCTGCTCTGAGCCACTCTTATACTGTATACCCCTTAAAGGGACACAAGAAATAAATTTGCTAAGAAAACTGAACATATTTTACCCTCAAACAGAATTTGTAGTTCACCTGGTTATTAGATTCTTGAACTATGTAAACCAAGCTGCCCTTGAATCCACTGCCTTTTAAGTGCCGGCATGTACTACCATACCTAGCTTGTCATTTTGATTCTTTTTTTTTGTACTGGGGATTGAACTCAGGACCTTGAGCCTGCCAGGCAGGCACTGTGCTGCCGAGCTACATCCCTGGCCAAAGTATTTTTTTTTTGGTACCAGGGATTGAACTCAAGACCTTGCACTTGCCAGGCAGGCAGGAGGCCACTGAGTCACATCCCCAGCCTTGCCATTTTTATTCTTAAATCACAGTATATTTCCTGACTTTCTTTGGGGATTCTTGAAGGTCTTGTCTTTAGCATGATTTTCTAAAATTTCACAATGATGTTCCATAGAGTGGGTTTTAAAACGTATTTTCTGTGCCAGGTCCTTTCAATTTAGAGGCTATTTTAAGTCTTGGGAACTTTTCGGTATGAATTTTTTCTTCTGTGATTTCCTAGGTCCATCATCTATATTCTTATCTACCCTCTCCTCTTTTTTTTTTTCTTTGTTGTTCTTTATGGAAGAATTCCTTGAATTTATTCTTCTAATCCTTCTAGTGAATATTTGAAAATTTTTAAGGTAAATTTTCAATATCCAAAGCTTTTTCTTGTTCTTTAATTTTTTCCCCATTTTTGTTTTGTTTTGTGGCTGCTGTATATTCTTTTGTCCCCATGAGATCAAAACATTTTAAAAGAAATTTTAAAAGTTTTTATCTATTATGTGTTTCACAGTAGAGGATTTCCTCTAGTATATGTGCTATATACCATGTATATTTCTATGGTTAACATCCTCATGAAAGTTTTTGTTGTTGTTAGTACTGGGGATTGAACTTACGGATTTCTGCATGCTAAGCATGTGGTCTATCAGTAAGGTAAACTCCCAGCTCCCTTCAAGAAACCAACTGTGTTACCAACTTACACTTTCTGGCATATTAACAATGGGCACCATCATTCTCTGTGAGGCTTCTCTCCTGATTTATTTCCCTCTTTGATGTGGAGGATATTATTACCAGAGAATTCTTAGTTTCAGTGGGGTTGATCCCCCAAGAATAGCAGATCTTGTCTACTACATTTCTTTTTGGATAGTAGCGGTCTTTCTTTTCTTACCTGATGTTAAGAAGGCAAGGGTACCAATTGTTTCATTGGACATGATGTTATGGAAACGTGCCAGTTGCCCAAACATCTGTAGGCCAGCCTCTTTCTCTCGGCGAGCTTCTGGAGTCAGACTATCCCATTCACCTCGGTCCTTCTCAATTTGCTGAATTTTTATCTTGCTCAAATACTACAGAAACCATAGGTGCGATAGATCAGAAAAGTATAATTAAAGGAACACGACATTTAAGAGGTCTTAAAATCCAGTTAACTAAGTTGGGAAAACTAGGGACAATAAAAGAGACATGATCTTTTATCTGTCAGTACAGGACTGAAGCTTAAAAAGAACTTTTGGAAAGAAAGAATTATATCCTCATATTTAGTTTAACCTGGATAGATTAACAAGTAATTCCCCTAGAAACAGTATACTATTAGGAAATAGAATAATGGTATAATATATGAAACCCAGGCCAAAAAAGCAGGCTACAGTGAAAAAAGAGTAAACACTTCCTAAAAGATGAAAAAACCCTGCCTACTAAAATGAAAGCTCTATCAAATATATAAGACATCTGGAAAGTGAATTGTAATTATTTAAAACTCTCTACCTTTCATCATCCTTACTGTTATAGCAAACAATAAGTTAAATAGCCTCATAAAAATGCCACCTGCTTCATTCTTATGCACACCACTCTTGCTTAAAACATTCTGTTTATATATAACAAGACCTAGTCTCATTTTGTTTAGCATGTAGGATTATAAAAAAGGCAGGAGAGCAAATCTTTCTCACAAGTCAAGCACAAGTTACTTGGGCATTATCAGTAAAATGAACTCCTCACTGTTCATGGCTACTCTCAAGATTTTCCTGCTTCAGCACTGCTGCTCCAGCTTAAACTCATCACAGGAAAGTTCTACAGTATACGATAGGCACTCGTAAGTTTTTAAAGGAATGAGAAAAGCAGCTCAATAAAGAAGTTAAACAAAACAATGTAGGAGCTGAGAGATTCTCAGCTGTATTTTACACTTTGTAAAGTAACATGTTTTACAATACAACTAGGGTTAGGGGCAGTAGACAGATGAAGAACAATGATGATTTAGTCTTTTTTTTTTTTTTTGGTACCAGAGATTGAACTCGGGTCCTTATGCTTGCAAGGCAGGCCACCGAATCGCTGAGCTAAATCCCCGGACCTATGATTTAGTCTTTATATGAAAAATAACCCAGAGGGTTTTTAAGTAGTGATGCAAAAAAATCAGAATCTTTTATAAGAGAGGATTAAAAAATCACTATCTCAGTGAACTACTGTTACTGATGTATAGAAAACAGGTGAAAGACACTGATCAAAAATAAGATCTTTTGATTTCTTTTTCTAATGCTGGCCTGATGACTCCTGCTTCCACCTTAGTTTATCTTCATCACACTATATTTTCAACTCTGTCAAAGTACCCAACCTAGCCTGTGAGGCCTCAATGACCCCTGACCTCTAAAAGGTCATTAATCTAGAAAGCTCTAACTGTAAATTTGTAAATATACTACTACTCAGATAGTTTTGGTTTAGACTGGGAATAAGGGTGTAAGAATTGATCTAAGGTCAAAAGTAAGTATTGATGATGATTTGCTGGTATAGGAGCAGTTAAATTTTTTTTTTCTTAAACCTGTATGGCTTCATCCAAAAGGAAGATGGCATCATTCATTAGCAGGTTAAGAAAGCGGAGGAAAAGTGGGGGATTCATGGCTTCTAAATTCTTAGAGGCATAGTCAGCCAAATCCTGAAAGAAAAGAAAACTGTTTCAATACTGAATCACCACGTGCTGGGCCTTATCTGAAGTAAATGATTTCACCAAAAATCCTCGCACCTTAATGCTTTCCCGATAGGACTCTGTCTCCCACATGTATCTTAGGATGGGATACATGGGACGGCGATAATTAAACTTCTGTTCAAATTGATGGGGATCTCCTGTATGAGAGAGAGAGAGAGAGAGAGAGAGAGAGAGAGAGAGAGAGAGAGAGAGAGAGAGAGCGAGAGACAGGGAGAGATCAGCAAATGTCATCTATTAGAGAGTGAGTAGGAGCTTTTATCTATGTGCAGTCATTTTCTTCTATTCAGAATGTATGAAGTCACTGGCAAAATCTTTCCTAGGAGTTTCTAAAAGCCCACATTAAGAGTTGGGTCAACTAGTTGCTCATCTCCTAACTTGACAGAATGAGAAAAGAGATCTAAAGGATACATTACTCAGCAAGAGATGAGGACAATGATGTCAAATAAAAGTTAAAGGAACTAACGTTTCCACATCCAAATGTGCCCTACATGTATGAAGCCTCTGAGCTGGCATTAGACGGGGATAGTCATGTGCAGAGTGGGACACCAAGTAATTCCCATGTTCTTCAGACTATATCCCAACGATGTAGCAAGTAAGTTCTTTGTATTTTTTTGTTTTTTGTTTTTTGAGACAGGGTCTCACTATGTAGTTGCAACTGACCTGGAACTCACTATGTAGCCCAGGCTGGTGTTGAAATCAGAGATCCTCCTGCCTCAGCCTCCTGAGTGCTGGCATTACAGGTGTGAGCCACTACACCTGGCCGTAGCAAGTTAGTTTATGATTCTTTGAAAAATCATGCCCTATATCTGAGTTATATAATAAAGAAAGAGTGCAGGATTTATAGTCAGAAGACCTAGAATTTCATTCTGCCACCATTTAACACAAATGTCTTAACCTTTATTTCTATAGAAATAAACCAAAATTGTACCATATTACAACTCTTTAGTTACATGGTTATGTGATGATGGAATGACAGTGACATATTGTGCCACTCCTTACGTATGACAAAGATTTATGTGTACTATTTCATTGAAACATTGCTTTGACCCATTTTACCGATGAAGAAATTAAGGCCCAGAGGTAAGCAAGTAACAAAAGCAAAAAGCAATGGAAAGGCAGCCAGTAAAATGTTAAATGTACCTATCACTAGAGGTTGGACATACCTTCTAAAGTGGTCTTATGTAACTCCTTAATATATCTTTCCTGGTAGTTGAGAAGGGATACTGTTTAATCAAACTCAGAAACTCAGGGCTAAAGAGACTCAAGGGAATGCTGCTTGCTGATATGTTAGAAAATCAGTTAGATGGTTAAAATCATTCAATCATCATGCTATCTCATCAACCCCATTCCAACTTTTTTTTGTACTGGGGATTGAACTCTGAACCTTGTGCTTGCAAGGCAGGCATGGTGCCACTGAGCTAAATCCTTGGCCTCCATTCTAACATTTTGAGGCAAAGAAAAATGAAGACAGGTTTTCATTAGCCTAACTTAATTGAGTATTATTCCACCAAACAATATAATGTGGGTAATGAGACTATGTTGGGGTTTTTCTGGTGAAAGGTGAAAAAAAAAGAGCTGGTTCCACCACTTAGTAGGTGTAAGACATGGACAAATAATCTCTTTTTTTGCAGTGCTAGGCACTGAACCTAGGGACCCATGGATGCTAGGCAAGCCCTGTACCACTGAGCTATACCCCCATTCCTAGTTTACTCTTTTGAGCATCTGTCTCTTCATATATAAAATAGGAATAATAAAGTTATACTTTTCAGATGGTAACAAATAATTTTTTTTTGTACCAGCGATCAAACTCAGGACCTTGTACTTGCAAGGTAGGCATGGTGTCACTAAGCTAAATCCCCAGCCCAATGATATAATTAATTTTAAAAAGCAGAAGCTGGGCATGGTGGTGCATGAGTACTGAGGTTGAAGCAGCAGGATTGAAAGTTTGAGCATAACCTCAGCAACTTAATGAGATCTAAAAAAAAAGGGCTAGGGAATGCCCTGGGTTCAGTCTTCAGTATTGGAAAAAATCAAAACAAAACACTCAGCATCAATGTGGCACACAGTAGACATTCCATAAATGATGGCTTTGATAATTCTCTGATGTTCAGAAAGTGATCAAGTGGGCCGGGGATTTAGCTTAGTGACACTGTGCCTGCCTTGCAAGCACAAGATCCTGAGTTTGATCTCCAGTACAAAAAAAAAAGTTGGAATGGGGTTAATGAGATAGCACGATGATTGAGTGATTTTAACCATCTAACTGATTCTCTAACATATCAGCAAGCAGCATTCCCTTGAGTCTCTTTAGCCCTGAGTTTCTAAGTTTGATTAAACAGTATCCCTTCTCAACTACCAGGCAAGATGTGTTAAGGAGTTGCATAAGACCACTTTAAAAGGTATGTCCAACCTCTAGTGATAGGTACATTTAACATTTTATGATCTCCAGTACAAAAAAAAAAAGTGATCAAGCTATGAAACTTCAGGGGTATTAGCTCCTCAGTTCTGAACTTGGCTGCACGACTGCTTTACCTGTAAACTCAATGTCCACAAAAACCTTGATTAGAGCTTCTGCAAGCTGGGGTGCATATTGGAAGTTACAGAACACACGTTTCCGGTGGAACACACTGGACAGCAAGGGATTTGGGGTCTGATCCAGATGAGGCATTACTGCTTCCAATACCTCGGCTAGTTTGGCCCTTAGGTGTGGATTCTTCATTCTGCAAAAAGAGCAGAAAGCAATATGAGCAGGCAAACTTAACTCCTCAAATTATGGTCCTGTTTTCTCTACATAAGGGGTCAGTCCACCTCTGCACTTTTAAATCTTGTCAGTACTGGGGTTATGCCAGGTACATCATTTAACATTTGAGATAACAGCCTACTCAATATGAGGAAGAGCACCTAAGTTTTTATTTAATGCTTAGCCATTCAATTGTCTTCTCTATAATGCATCATTTACTGCATACTATTTTCTCATAATTTCATTTCGGATAAACCTGCCTTCTAAGCTTTCAGGGGATAAGGATTAGGTTATAATTATCTTATTACCCACAAATGCATATTGTGCGTGCCTAATAAATACTATCTGACTTATATTTCTTATTAGGTCTGCTCTGCTCAGTGAAGGGTTGACTTCTACCTACTTTTCATTAATATAGCTCAGGGAATTGTAGGTCATTCTTGTTACCGTGTAGTAAATGTGCACTTTTGTACACAGAATTTTTGTTCTTTGGCCTATGCAACAAAAAAATCAGAGAGGCAAGTCTAAAAGCTATGGTACCTTCCTTTGGGAAAAGGTTAGAAAGACAAGAAATTTGAATCAGTTTACTACTCATCCAACTCATAACAGTACAAGCAAACATTGTTATCACAGAATTAGCAGAAAAGCATTAGTGCCTGGCTGCTTCTGATAAGACTTCTGGCATTATGGGAACTATTTTAACCAGCAACTAGCAGTTGAAATTCCATCTGGTATCTCACACGTAGGTTCAAATGCCTCTCAATAGTGGGATTTTTGGCTAACCATAGGATGGTCAGGTGATTCATTAAAGTTAACAGAACATCTCAACGTAACCCCTTGTAAGTCAGGCATATTTCTTGGGTTAGAAATCTAGAGTTTTTAGCTGAACGTGGCAGTGCACGCCTGTAATCCCAGCACTTGGGAGGCTGAGGCAAGAGGATCGCTGTGAGTTCGAGACCAGCCTGGGGCTACATAGTGAGTTTCAGGTCAGTCTCAACTACATAGCGAGACCCTGTCTCAAAAAACCAAAAAAAAAAAAATAGAAAACTAGAATTTTTGTAGAGCTCTAAATAGTAACAGAGCCCTACTTTCAGCACTTTACCTTTCTATGCTTCCAGTAAAAATGGTGATAAAGTGAAGGACGTGCTCCAGGGAATCTGCCGATGTCTCCAAGATATCATCAGCAAAACGGCGAAGGAAAATGAGAAAATCACCCAGGTTATCTGCAAAAAATTCTGAAAAATAAAACGTTCACTGGAATTAGTCATATTTCTGTCTACTGGTACTAAACATTTAAATAACTCTCTTTATGCTACTTAATGAAGGTAAAAAACCACCAAAGGCCTTATAAGACTAAGGATGATAAGTTAATGAATGTAGGTTCTCCTTTAAATGTAACTCCTTTTAGTTTCATTGATTTTTATTTCTTGCAGATTGAAGTTAAGAGACTTCACCCTGTGTACAGTCCCAGCCCTGTTTTAATTTTTTATTTTGAGGCAGGGTCTCGCTAAGTTGCTAAACTGCCTACACTGGACTCAAAATTGCAACCCTCCTGCCTCAGCCTCCTAGGGTGCTGGCTTGCAGTTTTATACTTATTTTGATTTCTACTCTCAAGGTTAACTACTATTTAAATTTAAATAATCCTTTAGGTGTCAGAAAATTGCTAATCACAATTTTTGTATCTGATGACTACGGTAGCTAGCCTCTGGGATTGTCCCACAATGATTCTCATCTCCTGGTCTTGTCTTTGTGCAGTCCCTTTCTATTCTTCTAGGGTAGAAGATATATCCTGAAGTTCACAGCAGAAAAGACAGTGTGTCATTTCCAAGACTAGGTATAAATGCTTGTAGCTTCTGTTTTGGGTTCTTGCCACTATGAGCAGTATTAAGAAAAGCTGACACATGGGGCTTGGAAAACAGGTTGCTGGCCAAAAGTGAGGCCTGTCAACAACCATATGACTGGCTTGTAAGTGGATCCTTCAGCTCTAATTGAATTCCCAGATCCCCATGCCCCTCATCAGCATGGCTGCAAGCACATGAGGTCCTCCGAGTCAGAATCATGCAGTTGAGTGCACCTGTGTTCCTGACGCAGCTATACTGTGTAAGATTTTTTGGGGAGGGGGTGAGAGGGGAGTACTGAGCTACATTATCAGCCCTTTTTTCATCTTTTTATTCTGAGACAGGGTCTTCTAAGTCATTAAGTTGCCTAGGCTGGGCTTAAACTTCTGATCCTCCTGCCTCAGACTCCCAAAGTGCTGAGATTACTGGTGTGTGTCACCACGCCCAGCCATGTTTGTTGTTTTAACCTGCTATATTTTGGGGTAATTTGTTCAACAGCAATACCTATTTTTTCATTTTATTAGTACATGCATTTTATAATCATCTTGGGGAGTTGGTACATTTATATAATAAACCTTGTTTCTTTTTTAACAGCAATATTTGACCAATAAGTGATCAAGAACATTTAAACTGACTCAAAGGGTAATAATCCACTGACCCCTCCCTGACATACATACACACATTTTCCCTTCTGTGTTACAAGAAGTTAGACAAATTTATAAGTTGAATGACAAACAATGACAGCGACTAATAGCTATGAAAACTCTGTTTGCACTTAAGTTTTTCAAAGACTATTTTCTGATATGCACGGCAACAGGAACACAAGGTTGAGAAACATATTGTTAGTGCCCTCCTTCTGACCAGTAGATACAAGTTGGAACTGTTTCTCTAAAAGCAGCTGAATAACTAAGGAAGAGTATTTTGAAGATTAAACTTCCAAAATGACCCAGTTAAACTTAGGTAGCTATAAATAGGAGGTTCCTGGGGGACAGCCTGCTTACCTGGCACATAAGCCAAAGAGCTGTAGCCATCTGGCAAAGGAAAAGTTAGTTCTACTGGCTGTGAGCCCTCATTGCCTATGGCCAGCTGAACCAGAAGAACAGCCATGGACACCTGCAAATTTAGGCAGTTTTGCAGCATCTGTGGCTCAGTCATGGCAGTCTTGGTAGAAAGATAGATGGTCATCAGTCGTTCAAACTGCTCACGGAGATTGTCAGCAGCAGGACTAGAACTCTGCTGAGCATCCCGCCAGGCAACCTGCAGCCGATGCAGATTTTGGTTGATTTTTACCATCTGATCATGCAACCTGCCCCCAAGAAAGCAGAAGAGACTGGGTCAGGGAGGCTCATATGGGGACAGCCTACTATAGACCATTCTAGCAAAACAAACCCTCATGTGCTTATTCTAGCATTCTCTTTGAGGATATAGAGAACTGCAGTCATAATGACAAAGAAGGCACTCATGAAAGTTACTGACAAGACAGAGGCAAGGTGCGTAGCTCTGGGAAAATGTTACCAAGTGTTCAACAAAACTGAAGCTAATTACAAAGAGTTAACAGCCTTCAGTTGAAATGCATCATAGTTTGGTCGGGCTGTTATTATATAAAATAAATGTAGTAATAAGAAATATAAGAAGCTGAGTGGGACAGTTTTACAAGACACAGGTGTAATGATTATGCTGTGATAGGGTAAATTGGATGGTTGGTCTTTTAGTATAATCCATGTAAAAAAGTTACCAGCTGGGATGCAACTTAAGTGCAGCTCTAGCTCTTCTGGTTAAATGTAAAATTAAGTTAGTCTTCACAAAAGTTTATCCAAACATTTTTCTACTGAAAGGAAGGCCCATATTTTAAAGCTATAATTGATTCTATGTGTACAATACAAAATAATTTCCTCCAGTCCTATGGATAATGTCTAGGGCTAGCTACTGGCAAAGTAATGACATTCATTTTTGTGTTTGATTCTATATCATTAGTCAAGATTAAGCACATGCTGAACTTCTTTTCATTTTTCCAGTAATTTTGAGTTTTGAAAAATCCCATGTTAATTCAAGTATCTTGAGAAAGCTTTAAGAACTGCTAATTCCAAATAACTCCTGCTATAAACTGAAACTATAACTGAGTTGCTATTTATTCCCCCTTATTTATAGTCTATTCAGCTAAGAGAAAAAAAACTGTAGAATGATGTATGGCTAGTCAGAACTAAATTCCTTTTTGGAAATTATACAATTTAGTATTCAAACCTTCGCATTCTAGAATCATCTTTATCTTAGATACACAGAACTTTTGTAGCTGTATTGGTCTCATTGTATATTTTCTTAATTTTTGCCAGTTTTGTCCCTACACTACAGAGCAGAGCATGGTCTTTTTTCATCAGGAGAAGCAACGAAAATTCAAGATTAGAAAATGAAATATATAATAAAAATAATTACACTTTCCCAGATGACAAAACGAAAGTAGTGACTTAAAAAAATGTAGAGAAAATAAACAATAAAAAAAATTTTGTGTGTGTGTGTGTGTGTGTGTGTGTTTTGAAACAGGGTCTTGCTGTGTAGTTTCGGCTAGCCTTGAACTATGTAGCTAGGTTGGCCTTGAACTCACAACTATCCTCCTGTTTCAGACTTTTTTTTTTTCGTACCAGGGATCGAACTCTGGACCTTGTGCTTGAGAGGCAGGCGGCAGAACCAATGAGCCAAATCCCTGGCCCCATTTCAGCCTTCTGAGTGCTGGGATTACAGATGTGTACTGACATACCCAGCAGAAAAATATTATTTTAATTTAAAAAGTATTTAATTTAAAAATAGGTGAAAAATCAAAAAGAAGTTTAAGTAATGTGGACAAAGCTGACACATATAAACACATATACATACTATGCCCTTTTCCCACTAGATTCTTTTTTTTTTTGGTACCGGGAATCGAACTCAGGTCCTTGTGCTTGCAAGGCAGGCGGCAGAACTGCTGAACTAAATCCCCGGCCCTACCACTAGATTCTAACGTGAGCCCTTAGAATAAATCTCTAAGGCTCACTTTTAAACTGGTTGTCAACACAACTAAATAGTTATTTGCTAATGATATCAAAGGAGTTACCTGTGAAATCCTAAGTACAAGGTGTACTCTGTCAAGGCAAGGTTCTCTGTTACAAGGTTGTAGCTCTGGGGAAACTTCGGCTCCTGCATGGCTGGGATCAAACAGGTTTCTTTGTCCAAACCTCAAATAAGTACAAATGAACAGTAAATGGATTGTCACATACATCTATCTTGGTCTTCTGTCCCTCTTATACTTGCTCAGCTTCCACATTGCTAGCAGTAGTATCTTCTTCAAAATAAACCTCACTACATCATTTCCTTGCCTAAAAGCATTCTTTGGCTTCTTGCTATCCACAGAAAGTTTAATGCTTTGACTTGACCAATGAAATTACAAAGAATTAAAAACAATGATAATACTGTAGATTTTCCCAAGAGAGAGGCAATGGACTGTTTCTACTCTGTGGTTTTCTGTATTTAAGACTTGCTTTTAAAACTGGGCACGGCCCCCTTCTGTCTCTCTCTTAGAAGCTATCTTTCTCTCAATAAAACTTTTCTATTCTTTAAAAAAAAAATGCTGGGCTGGGGATTTAGCTCAGTGGTTCCACCACCTGCCTCAAGAGCACAATGTCCCGAGTTCGATCCCGGTACAAAAAAAAAAAGCTGGGCATGGTAGTGTGTACCTATAATCCTTAAAACTCAGATATTTAAGACCAACTGAGCAAGGTTTCAATATAAAATTAAAATAAAAAAAGGGCAAAGGATGTTGCTCAGTGGTAGAGGGCTTGCCTAGCATGTATGAAGCTCTTAAGTTTAATCCCAGGTACTGTGGGAAAAAAAAATTATTTGCTTTTGAATAGGTATCACTTGCTTTTCCTCCCAGTACAGGGGATTGAATGTATGACCTTGTGCTTATGAGGCAGGTGTGGCACCACTGAGCTAAATTCCAGGCCCTACTTTTTTTTTTTTTAAAGACAGGCTCTTGCTACGTAGTTCAGTCTGGTCTTAAACTCACTATGTATCCTAGACTGGGCTCCAACTTGTGATCCTCCTGCCTAAGCCTCCCAAATGCTGGGACCACAGGCATGCGCCAACACACCCTATTAAGCAGGCTTTTACAGTTGCAAAATTGAAAGGAAATACATAAAAATTAAGCAGTGATTCATTCTGATTGGTAGTGTCATGAGTCATTTCTTTTCAATTTTCTATAATTGTTCAACTTTTCTTCCATCTGGCCCCATCATTCTTCCCAGACCTGTTTTTTCTACCTCCCACCCCTTGGTCCTCATCTCCTCTTGCTCTGAACTTTTAATTATTCCTCAGTCAACACTTCTCACAGCTTTGTGCCTCTTCCTTTGTTAGTCCCTTTGTATAAAGAGACCCTCTTGCCCCTCTGCCTGGTAAAACCCAAGTCATCTTTCAAGACTCACCTATTAACATTCCTAACTTCTGCACAATTAAAATATTCACTCCTTTTCTGTGCTCCCATAATTTAGCCCTATGACATAGTATAATCATCTATTAACGTATCATCTTCCTTTTGGAGCCTCTGAGTTCAACAAGGGGCTGTATTTTATTCATTTTTATAATGAATGAGTGAATGAATACTTAAGGCTGCCAAATCCAGAGTAAAAGTCTCACTACAGCAAAATATTAAAAGATACAAAAGCTGGGTGTGGTGGTGCACACCTATAATCCCAGAACTTGGGAGGCTGAGGCAGGAGGATCGCTGAGACCAGCCTGGGCTACACAGTGAGTCCCAGGTCAGTCTCAACTACATAGTGGGACCCTATCTCAAAAAAAAAAAAAGCTACAAAAAAAAGAAAAGTATATTAGTGCCAAGGATGTAGCTCATTGACACTGTGCCTGCCTGGCAAGTGCTTGGTCCTGAATTCGATTCCTGATACTGGGGAAAAAAAAAGTTGCAAGTTTTTTGTTTTTGTTTTTTTTAATTGTCTTTAACTTGCTATGTAGCTCAGGTTGGCCTCAAACTTGTGATCTTCTTGCCTCAGACTCATGAGTTTCTGGCATTATAGGTATGTACCACCATGCTTAGCTTCATCTTTTGAGAAAGAGGCACTTTGTGAAAAAAGATGAGTGATTGCTTTCAATGTCTCTCTCTCTCTCTCTCTCTCTCTCTCACACACACACACACACACACACACACACACACACTTTTGAGAAGCCCAGTTTCCACCCCTACCTCTCATGTGTACATTTTTAATTTTTCGTTCTTCATCATTCAACTCCTTCAGGGCACAATAAGTGGGGTTAAAGGTGAGGAGCCGAGAGGATCTGGGTTTACAAAATGGCTGGCACAGCTTCAGGAGAGCAGCACCCAGATTGAGAAAGAAGGCATCTGAGGCATACATCTGGAAGAAGATTTCTGGCATTTGATTTGCCCAAATCTTGGTGCGGCCTGCATTTGCATGCAAACAGTTTCCAAGCCAGGACAAGATACAGTGCTTGGTTTCTGGAGAGAGCTGGAGCAAGTTCTTCAGCATCTGGTAGATCTTTTCATGGAACTGGGCCATGAACTGTTCAGCCAGAAAAAAACAATAATAGAACATTCCAGTTTCACAATCCTCATAGTTTTTCACTCTCAAACCTTAGCAACTATTAAATTTCTAATCCTGTTTTCCCTTACTCTCGTTGTACCTTATCCCCTGGTTCTGACTTATTTTGAGACAGGGTCTCACTATGTAGCCCAGGCTGCTCTCAAACTTGCAGTGATCCTCCTGCCTCAGCCTCCAGAATGCTGGGATTAGAGGCATGTGCCACCATGCCCAGCTCTGACTTTTAAAAAGCAGATTTCCTGGCATTTCATAGAGATTTTCTGCTCACCTGCCAAACTGTAGACAGCAGGACTTAGTTTTATAGTGGGGGCTGGTAAACTTTATTTATTTATTTATTTGAGTCAGGGCCTCACTCTGTAATTCAGGCTGGCCTTGAACTCACTATGTAGCTCAGGCTGGCCTCAAATTCATGGTGATCCTCCTTCATCAGCCTCCTGAGTGCTGGGATTACAGGTGTGTGCCACCATGCCTGGCTTGGTAAACTTTTTTGCAAACCACTGGATGATAAATATTTTTGGCTTTGCTTATCTTATGGTCACTGGGTGGAATTACACAATTTAAACATTGTAGCATGAAATGAAGACACAAAAATTACATATGAATGGACACGGCTATGTTTAGTAAAACTTTATTTACAAAAACAGGTGGCAGACTGCTTTGGTCGCTGTTACAGTTTGCTAACATTTGCTTACCAACAGAGTTGTGATGATTAAATGGTGACTGGGAGACTTAAATTATCCCTAATTCAACCATTTAAATGCCTCATGTTGGAGAGACCTCTACCATAGTTTATATTAAGAGGTCCAAATAGAGAAGGTATAGGTGGAAACAGGAAAAAAAAAATGGATTTAAGGTGGAGTTTAGTCAAAAGATTTTAGGAGCTAAGTGATACGAAATAGCTTGATGAGAAGGGCAAAAGCTGAGGGGAAGAAGCAGGGCTCCTGCACAGGGGATGGGCTGCAGCAGCTCATATTGACTCTGTAGGAAGGTTTACCCTCTGCTCTTAGTGTATGCCACAAACAGGGCAGTTTCTTTACATCACTGTGGCAAAAGCCAACCAGACTAATTTACTTTTCCAAAGAAGCTCAAGCAGTCTTATCTATATGTCATACCTACATAGACTACACAGAGGAGATTATAATAGTCTAAAAGCAGGGGGCTAGAGTATACCAAGAAACAGTTCTACCTGATGGATGTTGGCTTCCTGAACTTTGATCTCCTGAGGACTGGAACGAGATGGATTCAGGAAGTAGGCATGATTTTCTACCACACCTGCAGTCTTTAATAAGCAGGAGATGTTCAGAATGACTCCCAACAAGGTCTTCTGGTACATCTGCCCATTGCTAGGGTCCTTGGGCTGAATGTATTCTACAAAAACCTATAGAAGGAGATAAATCATACATGTCTGCATGGTGAGATACAGGTGATGGAATGACAGGGCCTCAAAAAGTTACATCTGTACAACAACTAATCCATCTTTCTTTTATTCTAAAGGTAATATTATGGTGTTCTTAGGACAGGAAAGCATGAATTAGTAAATCTCCAGCTCCTCAAAATATATAGCACTTTTCAAGCCTACCTTTGCCATATCTTTTTGCCTAGTGAAATAGAGAAGAACATCCAGATATGCATAGAGTAGGATCTGGCAGAGCTCCAGATCTTTAATTCGGCCCAACAAAATATCAAACACTGGAATCATGACTTCAGGAAATGTTCGAACTTCCTCATCCAGTATCAAGGCTTCAATGACCTCTTCTAGGAACTCAGTTACATCCTCAAAATCTAACAGAAGACAAATAAGAGAAAGGAGACCATCATGTTTCTACATTTTTTTTTGGTGGGGACTGAACCCAGGTCTTCCCACTGAGATACAGCCCCAGCCTGTTTAAAATTTTAAAAATTTTGAGACAGGGTGTCCCTAAGTTGCCCACAGTTGGCCTCAAACTTGTGATCCTCCTGCCTTAGCCTCCCATAGTGCTGGGATTACAGGTGTGCACCACCACACCTGGCAGGAATTTTTATTGCCTTCATATACTGGCTCTTTACTGCTTCTGATTCTCCTGATATGTATATTGATATTCAATCCCAAGGATCAAGGAGTAAGTTTCTCTTCCTTAATTTACACCAGAATTGTAATGGCTCTGAGACTTCCTAAATAAGATGTAGGTCACTAATACCATGTACTTACGAGCTCCTTGGATGGCTTCCAACATCAAATCTACCAGTTGTTCATGGATGTTTTGGTCAACATAGATCTCTGGGGTAAGGAGAACTGTTCGGGTATTAGACACGGTGAGGTTCCTGCACTGTACTGCAAAGGGAAGCAAGTTCTCTGGGACTTTGGTAATCTGGAAGCACCATGAAGAAGAGAGAAAATATAATGCTATATGTGGAATAAGGGCAGACACAGAAAAAAGTTTGGAAAATTTACACAATATTTCAAATATCGCTTGTGTGCTTGAAAATTCATGACAGATTCACTATTTGGCTTAAGGAAACATTTACCTGTCAAAATTCCAATCTTAGAAGTGTCATGCTTAGCCAACTCTAACATTTACACTTCAGTGGAAATGAATTTTTCAGACCTTTTTTTTGGGTACTGGGGATTGAACTCTGGACCTTATGCTTGCGAGGCAGGTGGCAGCACCCTGAGTTCAATCCCCAGTCCTTCCAGACCTATTTTTAAGGTGTGGTTTCTAAAAGGGTTGGACACAGACAGAGAGGAGATACTGCTTAACTGGGGGGAGAGATGAACTCCATCATTGAAAGCAGACTAAGGCCTGGACAAACTCATACTGCTTCTGATATCCAGTTCCAGATTAGATATACTATGATGGATATAAGTTGATATAACAGTCACTGATCCAATTCTCATTTATGTGCTAAAGTCACACCCAAGACGATGATACAGGATTCAGTGGGAATTATTCTTTTACCTCTTCCTTGGCTCTTTGGAAGCAGGAGTAAAGGTAACAAAAAATGTGTCTCTCTCCTGCATCTCGATCAGCAGAGAGGTTTAATGTTGTAGAAGTCATGTTAATCAAATGGTTTCCTGGATCTTGAAGTAACAAGCGAGCGAAAATGGCCTATTAAGAAAAACACACAAAAATACTAAACCATCACAGATTTAATCTTAGCACATTAAAATGTAAAAAGTAACTTGGAGTTGGGTATGATGGTACACACCTGTAATCATAGCACTCAGGAGGCAGACGCAGGAGGAACACCAGAAATTTGAGGCCAATTTGGGTTACATAGTGAGTTTAAGGTCAGCCTGAGCTACATAGTGAGACTCTGTTTCAAAAAACCAAACCAAACAAACCAAGATGGAAGGAAGGAAGGAAGGAAGGAAAGAAGGAAGGAAGGAAGGAAAGACAGACAGCTAGCCAGTGTGTTGGCACATGCCTGTAATCCCAGCACTCAGGAGGCTCAGGCAGGAGGATTGCTGTGAGTTTGAGACCAGCCTGGACTATATAGAGAGTTCCAGGTTAAAAAAAAAAAAAAAAAAAAAAAAAAAAAAAAAAAAAAAAAAAAAAGAAAAAGAAAAGAAAAGGAAAGGCAAGGGAAAGAAAGAATGAAAGAAAAAGAGAGAATATAGTAATTCTAAGAATCACATGCTTGGCTTAGAGTGAAGGGGAAAAAAAAGGACTTTAGAAAATTTTAAATGGGGAAAAAAATAAGAACCAAGATACATCACGTAAAGGTACAAATTCCCAACGATGAATGTAACTGTATTGTATGCCTAAAATGTACCAGTAAACTTAATGAAGGAAAAAAAAAAGCTGGGTGTGGTGCTACACCCTTATAATCCCAGCACTCGGGAGGCTGACACATGAGGATTGCCATGAGTTGAGACCAGCCTGGGCTACATAGTGAGTTCCAAGGCCAGCCTGAACTACACAGCTGAGACCTTGTCTCAAAAAGAAAAACAAAACAAAAAAGTCAGAAAATGTTAGACAACACTTATTATTTACAATTATCCTAAATCAAGCTTTAAGTGTTTTGAGATAATCCCAGCACAGGAATGCTGAATAGTGCTGAGTATCGAAGATTAAATTTATATGTGAAATCTATTATTTGTGTAACTGTTGATCTCAATCAGACTTAAATATATTTTTTTGGGAGATAGCATCTTGTTATGTAGTTCAGGGTAGCCTCGAACTCCTGGCCATCTCTCTGCCTCAGGCTTCCAAGTGCTAGGTCTGTGCCACCATTCCTGGCAAGATAAAAATTTAAATATGTAAAGTTAAACTTTACTTTGTCAAGTGTCTTCCGTACAAAGTTTTTAATGTCAATCAGACACCTGTGTGGTACAATGGACTACTATGTTTGGACCTTCATTGTCTCCCAAAGGCCTGGGTTTTAAAGGTTGGGTCCCCAGATGGCACTACTAGGAGATGGTGGGAAAGTCAGTAGTTGAGGCACAGTAGAAGGTTCTGGGTCATGAGATCTGGGTCATTTCCCCCTTTTCTTCTTTCTGTAGCTCATGATGTACATGGCTGTGCTCACTGTGTGCTTCTGCCATAGCCCAACACAACAGGGCAACTGGTCACAGACTAGAACCTCCAGAATTGTGAGTTGTTACGGTAACGCAAAGCTAGCACAGCACTGTTTTGAGTTGGGAATGATGGTGATGCCTGTAATCCCAGCACCCTGGGGGGCTGAGGCAAGAAACTTTGTGAGACCCCGTCTCAAAACAAAATCTTGGGGCTGGGGATTTAGCTCAGTGGTTCTGCTGCCTGCCTTGCAAGTACAAGGGCCCAAGTTTGATCCCTGGTACCAAAAAAAAAAAAAGAAAGAAAAAAAATCAAAACAAAATCTTAAAAAGGGTTGGGAATGTATCTCAGTGCAAAGGCTCTGAGTTCAGACCCCAGTACCACAAATAAAACAAAACAGCACTGTTTTGATTTTTGAAAGGATACAGAGAGAGGCTTTGCCCTTAAAGAAAGTAAGGAACTAATAGGGAAGGTAAGCCAGGTACATAAAAAAGATACAACATGAGACCGAAAGTGACTACAGTAGTCCCAGTAGAGATGCCCAGATAGATTACTCTAGGATTTTTTTTTTCTTTTGCAGTACTGTTGATTCAACCCAGGGCAGTTACACAGAGCTACATCCCCAGCCCTGCCCCCCTTTTAAAAAATTTTGACAGGGTCTTGATAAATTGCTAAGTTGCTTAGACTGAGCTTGAACTTGTGATCCTCCCACCTCAGCCTCCTAGAATTATAGGCATGTGCCACCACACCCAGCTTTAACTTGTTTTTAAAAGATAGGTAGATTGGGACATATGCAATGAGCAGATTCCACAAAAGGAACTCCTCAGCAGTAGTGTAAGAGATGGAGGCAAGCAAAGTCACAGAGAGCCATGAGCAGTATCCAGTTACATGCTAATTTTTATTAAAGGCACATATTAGAATCATAAGAGTGAGGGCCAGGGATTTAGCTCAGTGGTTCTGCTTCCTGCCTCACAAGCACAAGGACCTGAGTTCATCCTTGAGTTCATCCCCGGTACCAAAACAAAAAACAAAACAAAAAACAGAAACATAAGAGTGGTACCTGCTCAGCCAGGTGCGGTGGCTCACGCCTGTAAGCCCAGCACCCTGGGAGGCTGAGGGAGGAGGATCGCTGTGAGTTTGAGACCAGCCTGGGCTACATAGTGAGTTCCAGGTCAGTCTCAACTACATAGTGAGACCCTGTCTCAAAAAACCAAAACAAAACAAAACAAACAAACAAACAAAAAGAATGGTACCTGCTCAACATTGCTCATATCAAGCCAGTCTTGATCTTCCAACTCTACTGCCATCTCTTCCAAATATACGCAGCGGCTTGGGATACCATTCCCACTTTTCATGCTTGGATCACCTGGGAAAGGTTTTAATCTGACAGGTTAAAAATAATGTTCCTGGTCTTACCTAGACAATTAATCTTCACATTAAAAAAAACTTCACATCATTTGTCTTGACCTCCAAGACTGCCCTGGGTAATACCAGAGTGATTTCTGTTTGGTACTGGGGATCGAACTTGGGTCCTTGTGCTTGTGAGGCAGGCAGCGGAATTACTGAGCTAAATCCCTGCCCCACAGTGATCTTGATATTCAATGTAAGTCCCTCTCTTTCACTCCATGACAGAACATGAGCTCCTCTCAGGGCAATATCAGAAGAAAATGGGCTTGGCTATCATTCTCATTTCCCTTTCAAGGTAGTAAAGACAAGCAGCTATATGGCCTGGATAGTATCAAAATGGAAATGAAAGATCAGTCTAAACATTATTCTTGGTCACAATAAAAGCTTCACTAAAATAGAAACCCTGTGTTCCAGGGAGTATTGCGTGTTTGTTTAATCATTAGATGCAAGAGGTTTCCACGAGCCAAAGAACTTTCTAGCCTAAGCCCAAGTAGGAAGGCAGAATAATGAGTAAATTGTTACGAGCCTGTAACTCACTGTTGTCCAGAGTAATGAGGAAGATTCTTTGGATCATGTGATTGATGTTGAGTTGCTCACATATTTCTTGCTGTGACCGGAATGAACGGCTGATCTCAGCCACAGAGTAATCAAATTCATCCAGGCTCTCTGACACACTATTATCGGAGTCATCTGGGCTTGCTGGGAGTTCATCTATCAGAATATGTAAGCTGTTAAACATTGCATCCTTCACTTTTAAAGAGAATCAAATATATTACCAATAGCAATAAATGTAACCAAGAGGAAGATCATTTTGGATGTGAAACAAATTAATCATCTAATTAGTGAATATCTCAAGTGAGGCAAGAATAGGATTTTGAAATGCTTTGCTATAAATCTTACATTATATAAAGCAAAGTTTCATTACTTATATCCATAGTTTTTGTTTTCTTTTTCTTTTTGGTACTGGGGATTGAACTTGGAACCTTGAGCTTGGGAAGCAGGCGGCAGAACCACTGATCTAAATCCTTGGCCCCCACTTATATCCACAGTTTTACTCTATATTGCCCAAATAACAACATTTTCCATACAGAATACTAGTAACTGAGAAATTACCTATTAGATCAGAACGCCCAAGTATTTTAAATGTATGGATTTTTTCCTGGGAAAACATTTATTTTGATAATTCCAAACTGTAAAGAAAAATATAGCCTCCTTTGCACTAATTTCCTATAGAGAACCAGACAATGCTCCAGATCCTCACCATCCCCAATTCTGGTGCTAATGTTCATTACTATGATTTTTAATTTTAAAAGAAAGGAATCATACTATACACAGTGCTTTTCAATTGGCTTAACCTACTCAGAACCAGTGGCTTCCCCTAGTAGGTCACACAGGTCTTTCTCATTTCTTTGAAAAGCTCCATTACATTGTATGCACTATGACTTACGTAGTCACTTAAACTTCAAGTCTGTTCAACTGATGAACACAAGAGTTGTTTCTAATTTTTCATGATTTTGAATAATACTGTACATTTCTTATGTGTTTGCTTGCAAGAATATTTTTCTAGGATAAATTCATAGAGGGCTGGGGATTTAGCTCAGTGGTGCCACCGCCTGCCTTGAAAGTGCAAGGTCCTGAGTTCGATCTCTGGTACCAAAAAAAAAAAAAAATCATAGATGCAATTATTTGTTCAAAGAGCTTGAACAGTAAAAAAGTTAACATATACTAACTAGCAAGTTACCCATGAGACAGAGTGTTGTGATTTACATGCCTACCCACTAGTATGAGTATGTATGTTTAAATCTTCACAAATTTCAGGTAAAAAAATAACTGCTTTATTGTTTTAACTGGCATTTCTCTAATGACTAGTAACAATAGCTTTTCTTTTTTCTTTTTTTTTTTTTGGTACCAGGAGTTGAACTCTGGTCCTTGTGCTTGCGAGGCAGGCAGTGGAACTACTGAGCCAAATCCCCGGTCCTTTTCATCTTATATATAAATTGTCTGTTATATCTTTTCCACCCTCTCTACTTTCTAACTGACTGAATCCCTTCAATTTTTTAATAAAGCAACTTAAGAGTGCCTCTCAGAATGTCAAAAGACTATAAATGTAGGGCTATGATGGTGTATGCCTGTAATCCTAGCACCCTGGGAGGTTGAAGCAGAATTTCAAGTTCTAGTCCAGCTTGGGCAGTTTAGTGACTTAGTGTGATGCAGTCTCAAAATAAAAAATAAGAAAAGGGCTGGGGATGTAGCTCAGTCCAAAGGTCCTATTTTCAGTCTGTAGTATGGGGGTGGGGGGGAAGCTATGTACTGTGGTTGTAACTCAGGGGTAGAGCACTTATCTAGTATGTGTGAGGTCCTGGATCCAGTCTGTAGTATGGCAAACAAAACACAAAAGTCATGAAAGTCATGCATGAGCCTGTACCCGCTTTTCTTATTAACAGAAGGGTTCTTCTGAAAGTCCTGGTAAAACTCTCAGAAGTGGGGAGTGTCGGGAGTTTTATGAAAGTGAAGTTCAATACAGGAGGCCAAAGGTTTTGGCAGAGTACTAATTCTGGCGGCAAACAGGTCGGACCTGGTGGCATGATAAACCAAGTATAAACAAAGTGAGGCGATGAGGTGCCAAAAAAGCAACAGAAGGGCATGTGCTGGTCTTGTTTCCACTGCTTGGTGCTTGCAATGTGTCAACTCTAGTCAGCCTGTTCACAGCCTGTTAAAAAGTCAACACTGCACTTACCTGTGCCTTGCTTTCTTACCCTGTTCATCACTAATCTGTCTTAACTTTACCTCATTTTTATTCAATCATAATCACAAAGAAAGATCACAATTCAACTATGCACATGAACTTTTTTTTAAAAAAGGAAAAATGCAAATATCTCTCCTTTTCTTAAAAGAAAGACACTATCATTCTTTTCGGGGGGGGGAAGGGAACAATTTCTACTCTGAAGGACTGTAAATATCTTCAGAAGTCTAACGTCAGAAAAACATTGTCATTCTTCTAGTCTATACCTCCTGCTAGGAAGAAGTTGCACTTGATCTTAAATTTGATCCCAGATGAGGGAAAAACCATTTTTTCTGGTCAGTGAGAAATTATTCTGATTTTTTCTTCATGTTTAAGCTAATTATTAGATTTTTCTTAGAAGTTTGTCCTAACAGCAGTATGCTACAAAAAAAGCCATTCAAGAGAATGGAAAAAGTATTTCACTTGAGAGGCTTCTTAAGCACTAAATTTAAGACAAATCTCTTTGTCTACAGGTCAAAAAGTGTTTATAATTCTTCCTCTTATATCTGCTTTCTACAGCTGCATACAACGTGTTTTCTGTACCCGTAGCCACTACTTTGATTTCCTATGTTAGAAAGATTTATTTTACAAGCTTTTACTAGGCGATCACATGATGACAGCTTTGGGACCACAACGGACATCTGTTCCTATGGAACCACCTGTTATCTGGTCTCTTTTCATGCAAGGGAGAAAATGGGACAGGGAAGGCTCCCTAACAAAAACCACCACCACCATCAACAAGCAAACAAAAAAAACTTCTGGCCCAAGCAAACAAAAACCAATTTCTGCCCCAAATTTAAATTTCAATTGTAATTAGGAGCCCAAAGAATACTTAATTTGGGAAGACTCCATTGCAAGGCCATGTCATCTGTTGCTACTGGCTCCTCTACTTACCAGATTGCTGCTTCAGCTGCTCTTTTTGGATTGCTGCAAACTGTTTGGCATCAGCCAGAGAGCCAAAAAGAGCAGCAAAGGGGTTACTTGAGATGTTGTTGTTATTCTCCTGGTCTGTCATTTCACTTTAAGGTATCCTCCATCCAGACCTAGCGGGTGGGGCTATGCAAAGGGCAGGTTATTAGGCTCAGAAGAGCAGATAATACAACTATAATGTACCCATGATTGTTTCTTTCCCATTTCTTAAACATAATACATTTGAGACTTTTGGGTTAACACCTGCCAATTTCTGTCCCAAAACTCAAGATATTTTTGGCAAGATGGTTACAAACCTACCGACTGGACATGATGGTCTGATCTGGGGACAGCTAAAACCACATATTTAAAACATGATCAAATGGAACACATTTATCTGTTGAGATATTTCTATGTGCTATACCTTTAAGAAAATAGGTTAAATAGAATTACTGATAAAGAGAGAATTCCCTAATAATTATAAACACCTAGGAAATAAGACAAGAACTATGAATTTACCATAAGTCTCCAAGCTGCCACCCTAGTTCTCATTTACTGTAGAGAGGACAAAGTGGCACCTACTAAGACTCCTATGACTTAGGGTTGAAGCTAGGAATTCCTTTCTACGTAGAAATTCATAGATTTGGAATGGTAAATCAGAACTGGAACGAGATCAGCATATATCATGGATCTTTAATGTATACTAAGCACTATATCTCTACTTAATAGATTTTTTTTTTTTTTTTTTAGACAGGGTCTCACTATGTAGTTGGGACTGACATGGAGCTCACTATGTAGCCCAGGCTGGTCTAACTCACAGCAATCCTCCTGCCTCAGTCTCCCGAGTGCTGGTGTTACAGGTGTGTGCCACCACGCCTGGCCCTTTCTTTTAAAAGTGACCCAAACAAGTTTTCATTTCCTAGTCTGAAGAGTCCCTCCCCTCAGTCTCCCGAGTGCTGGGATTACAGGCATGCACCACCATGCCTGGCTCTACTTAATAGATTTAAAACTACTGACATTTGGGCCAGGGATTTAGCTCAGTAGTGCCACCACCTGCCTTACAAGTGCAAGGGTCCTGAGTTCTATTCGCAGTACAAAAAAACTGCAACCAAACACCCCCTGCTACTCCAAAACTACTGACATTTGTTCAACTAAAATCTAAATTGTCTTTGATTAATTCTACACATAAATTTCTGATTTTTTAGAATACTGAAGAAATAAATATTCCAGGACCAGGGATTTAGCTCAGTGTTGCCTGGCCTTCCTGGTAAGTGCAAGGTTCTGAGTTCAATTCCTGATACCAAAAAACAAAACCAAACCTTCCAACTGATTCATTTGATTTTTTTTTTTTTTTAAACTGGGGATCAAACTAGGACCTTGTGCTTACAAGGCAGGCAGCAGAACCACTGAGCTAAATCTCTGGCCCTGATTTTTTTATAATACCAAAGAAATAAATTCCAACTGCTAGGTATAACGTGTAACCCCTTAAAGATATTTAGGAGCTGCCAGAGCCTATATTTGCACTCTTCTGATTACATCTCATTCAAAGGCAAGTGGACTCAGTAGCACAATGGAATGAGTAGAGGTCCCTGAAAGTATTTTTTCCCTTTCTAAAAGATTAAGGTCACAGCATAAAAATACAACCCTGAAAAGGGTCAGCAAAGACACAGAGCATGAACATTCTGCTTACGAGGACTCTGAACTGCTCCTGGACTTTAGGAAGAGTATGGACAGGGAGGGGAGGGGATTTATTTTTTATTTCAGATCTCTTTAAATCATTAAATGCCCACCAAGTGTAAAAAAAAAAGGAAAGGAAAGGAAAGGAAAGGAAAGGAAAGGAAAGGAAAGGAAAGGAAAGGAAAGGAAAGGAAAGGAAAGAACATTTGGTCTGCATTTAGTTAAGATAAGATTCTTTATGGAATTATATTTTAAAAGCTAAGACAAGTCAAAAAATGACTTAATAAAAAGTAACCGGGTGTGGTGGCGCACACCTTTAATCCCAGCATCCGGAAGGCTGAGGCAGGAGGATCACTGTGAGTCCAAGACCAGCCTGGGCTACACAGTGAGTTCCAGGTCAGTCTCAACTATAGTGAGACCCTTACTCAAAAAACCACCTCCCCCGCAAAAAATAGTTTTATAGTTTTTTTTCATCTTTACAGGATAGTCTATAACATTTAATAATTTTCAAGCATCTCCATCAGTTACTTCACATCTTCTGCTGTTTTTCTGCATAAAAGCTAATGGCTAATTAGCTGTAATAACCTAGGCAGAAAGCCTACTCTCTTCTCAACATGGTACAGAGCTTCAATGAACTAAACTGCTAGATGTTGCTCTATTTTTTGCTGTGTATACTTTAGTCAAGCTTAATGCCAGAAAAGATATCATATTTAGTGTTGGAATTGACAGCAAACCTTGAGAGGACTGTAATCTTTACACAAGCTTAGTTATGATCTCTAATTAATTCAGAGATACCCCAAACTGTCTCACTGTTAGTTGACCACCACATTCCTCCAATTCTGAGGAACCCTGACTTCCAGAAGAATGCAAAAAGTGTAGTGCCATCCTCTTTTTGCAATATGACACACAGTTTTTCTTCTGGGTATGAATTCCATGAATTAATTCAATGTATTCAGAAAAGGTTGACTCATCCACCAGTTCCAAGAGCGGGCATATAAATCTGGTCTTCTGAAAGAGAACAGCATTTCCTGGCCAAACTGACCAATTCAAGAGTGGACACAAGATCTTATCAAGGCCTACAGGAGTCAGTGAATACCAGTTTTAGGCCTTTGGCTAAATTTACAGAAAATAATTTTTTTTATCTGATTGGGTTGCTAGGTTTATAACTATTTTTTCTTTTGTGTCTGACATTATACCATATAATCACAAAATCCTAAGTAAATGTTTACTGAATGATTCTTACATGTAGTTACCACAATCTCTTGTAACCAGTTGCATTATCCATGATCTTACTTCAAGGTAGGGGCTCTACTACATATCTTGGGATGGTGTCAAAGGTAAAGCCACCAGGGCAGACACTGTGGCTCTTTGTTATGTAAAGTGTGTGCTGAGTAGAGAATGGAATAAAATCTGTTGTCATCTCAAATGTCTGTTAAAAAGAGAGATTTTACTAAGCTCATCTTTTCCATATATACTAAAAACACACACACAAACCCTTCATGAAAAATAAAGGCTCGCCAGGGATTTAGCTCAGTGGTGCTACCGCCTGTCTCTCAAGTGCAAGGTCCTGAGTTTGATCTCCGGACCAAAAAAAAAAAAAAAAAAAAAAAAAAAAAGAAAGAAAGAAAAGGTTCAACTGTGTAATCATAAGAAAAAAGAGGGCTGATCACTTAATGAGAACCCATGTGGAGATGCCATTCTAGATTTATTTAATTAACTATTGAGTATAAGTTAAGAGTACCTGGATATCACCTACTTTTTTTTTTTTGGTACCGGGGATTGAACTTGGGTCCTTGTGCTTTTGAAGCAGGTGACAAGAAACACTGAGATAAATCACCAGGTGACACTGAGTTATCCAGGTTGAACTTGAACTTGTGATCTTCCTGCTGCAGCTTCTCAGAATGCTAGACTACATTTAGAACAGGTTGGCCTCAAATTCATGGTGATCCTCCTGCCTTAGCCTCCCATGTGCTGGAATTACAGGCACATGCTACCATCACACTCTGCTTAGTGCTAGGATTATAGGTGTGTGCCACCAAGCCACCAAGCCAGGCCAACAATGGCCTATTCTTTTTTTTGAGACAGGATCTTGCCATACTGTTCAGGTTGGTTTTGAATGCACTTTGCAGTCCAGGCTAGCCTTGAGCTTGCAGTGATCCTCCTGCCTTAGCCTCCTGAGTACTAGGATTACAGATGTGTGCTACCATTTCCAGTGCAATGTCCTATTTTAAATCTCTTCATTTCAACTGTAAGGCAAGGGCCAGGGATGTAGCTCAATTGCACTGTGCCTGCCTGGCAAGCACAAGGTCCTAAGTTTGATCCCTGATACCACAAAAACAAAAACAAAAACAAACAAACAAAATGTAAGGCAGAGGAACAACCCTATCCTGTTGATAGCCTTTAGGATGGCACAACCATGAATCCTTAAGAAGCTTTTGGGTTGTATTTAAAAAAAAAATAAGGTGCCTTTAAAACAACTCTATACCCCCCACTGCTAGGGCAAACATCTGTAAAGAGCTGTCTATTTCTGGCCCTACAAAATTCTCTCACCCTTTTCTGATTTAAATTTTTGCTTATGAACAGTACTACTAATTTTTAAAGGCTACTGCTAGTTCTTGTGAGCAAACAAATGTTTTAATAAGACTTACCATTGTTTTAAAATAGAAATATAAAAAATGTAAAACTGGGATTGTTAAAATCAAGCTCTACGTAACTTAATGATAAGAGCATTACACACACAAACATGTAAATAAATAAATAAAAATAAATTAATCAAGCTGAAATAAATCACATTTTGTAAATTCTCTGTACTGGTAATACACACATCAAATAAAGACAGGAATTTAAAAAACCCTTTCAGTGTAACATGTTCCATCCATAATACATTCACTCTATGCAAATACAGCAACAAATCCTTTCAATACATCTATGTAGAAGATAGTACTTCATCAAGTGAAAAAGCAGACAGCATTCTTTTTTGGGTCACATTTTATCACCCTGTGGGACCAATATGGTCAAGGCCAGCGACAATAAACATTCTTGCTCTGGTTGATCCCTAGAGGAACATTTACTAGATTTAAACTCTTGAGTCGTTGTCACTCAATTAATTAATTAATTACTTAACTTATTGGCACTGCGGATCGAACGCGGGTCCTTGCGCTTGCAAGGCAGGTGCCAGAATCACTGAGCTAAATCCCCAGCTCTGTCACTCAATTTTAGAAGCATCTTATAAATCTAAAAAAAAAAAAGTATCTTATAAATCTAAAGAAACATGAAATAGGGTGCCAGGAGTGATGAGTGATGGGCCCGTTACTCGGCGTTTGGCTCAGGGGTTCTGCTGCCTGCCTATCAAGCGTAAGGGCCCGAGTTCGATCCGTGGTAAAAAAAAAAAAAAAAAAAAAAAAAAAAAAAAAAAAAAAAGAAAAAAAAAGAAAAAGAAAAGAAAAGAAATATCAACATCTTACCATATGCACTCAACTAGTTTGATTACTGTGCATAACTTATCTTCCTGGCACCTGGCTATCTGTCGTCTATTCTCTATATTTTAAACCCTTCAGATTCCATTCCATAAGGGATTCGTGGGAAGGAGGGAGATGCACCTACCCGGTTCAGGTTAGAGAAAGGAAGTCAAAAGATGAGGTCAGTATTCTAGTTTTTTCCTGAAGGACCACAGGCAAGCGGGGAAGAGAAATGTACACACAGACAAGAGAAACTGGAGTACTCTAAGGGTTTCTAAATCAGGCAGGGTCGAAATTCGTGGAGAGGATTCCTGGTCAGTAAAGCGCAGAAGGAATTCGGAGGAGGCAAGAGTGCAGAGGACTGGACTGACATTCGACTAAGAGAAAAATTCCCATTTCAGACTGAACAATCCCCCTTCCTCAAAGCTACCTCCTCTCTTACCAGGGTATGAAGGACCAGCAGCGACGACACGACAGTCTCAGGGGCCAAAAGGTTCCTACTTCCGACTCAGCACGGCAACCGGAACTGACATAATCATTAAGCGCCAGGGCTGGTGGCATCTCATCTCTGTGCCGGAAGTAGGATATATGCACCCTGCTGAGCAAAGGGCACCCAAACACCCTGAAGGCGCAAGCGCTGGTTTGCTCAAACCGCCTGGGGGCGGGGCGGAAGTGGCCTGGTGTTTACGTTGGGGTAGGGAGATGAAAGTGGGATGGCCATGTGTTTGGAGGTTAGCGGATTGTTAGGGTGTGCCTATGAAACCTTTGTATGGAGGGCAGCTGTCCCTTTTTGATCTCTACTCAGCTAGTGAGCTCTGGCTCTGGCTTTTTTCTTTCTTCCTGTGGGGCTACTGGCTTTTTTAAAAAAAATTAATTTTATTTGTACATTTAAGCTATACAATGTAGTGACAGTCATCATTTGAAATTTGCACCTTTACATGATACATCTTGGTTCTTATTTTTCCCCATTCCCCTGCCCTCCCTTCAACCCCTCCACTGTTCCCTATCCACAAAGACTTTGTTTCCAGTTTTTTCTTTTTCTTATGTTAATTCCATTCTCATCTTTTCCTCTACCCCTCCCGTTTCCCCTTCCCCTTTGCATCTTTTCTTCCAATTTCAAATTAGTATACCTTTTAGTCCTTATGTACATTTCAGTTTCTCACACTAGAGAAACTATTAGGTAGTTACACATATGTGTCCTATTTATTTCACTTGAGTATTGCCTCAATGTGCATCCATTTAGCTATAAATGTCTATAGTTTCTCATTCTTTATGGCTGAGTAGTACTCCATTTTATCAAAAACAAAACAAAATAATACAACATTTTCTTCATCCAGTTTCTTGTTGACCGGAAATTGGGCTGCTTCCAAGTTTTAGCTCTCATGAGTTGTGCTGCTATAAACATGGGTGCACATATATCACTGTGATATGATTCTTTTAATTCTTTGGGGAAGACGATCAAGTGGGACCTCCAACCCTAGTTTTTTTTTTTTAATCCTAGTTTGTTGAGGTATTTCCATACTGATTTCCACTGTGGTTGCACCAGTCTACACTCCCACCAGCAGTGAAGCAGGGTTCCTCCTTCACCACAGCCCCTCCAGCATTTGTTATTGGTTGATTTCATGATAGCAGCCATTCTTTCTGGGGTAAGGTGGAATCTCAATATTGTTTTCATTTGCACCTCGAATGACCAGTGATGTTGAACATTTTTTCATATGTTTATTTTCTATTTCTACTTTGAGAAATGTCTGTTCATTTCAGATGCCCATGTTTGGACAGGGGCTTTAAATTTGGGAGGTCTGGTTTTTTAAAGTTTTTTATATATTCTAGATAGTAGACCTTTGTCTGAGGAAGAGCTGGTGAAATTTTTTTCCCACATTGTGGGTTGTTTCTTCACACTATTGGTTGTTTCTCATGCTGTGCAGAAGCTTTTTAATAAGAAGAGATCCAACGTGTTGATTATGCTAGTTCATGGGCAACTAAGGTTTTATTCATAAAATCTGTTCCTACACCAAAGTCTTCCAAGAGTTCTACCTAACCTCTTTTCCAGCTGGTTTCTGTTGAAGCAGCTTCCATTAGTTTTCATAGACTTTTAAAATATTTCTAATGAAGTAAAAAACCAGCAATAACAGCTAAAAGCTTTGAGTACCATGTGCCAGTGTGCTATTTTTTTTTTGGTACTGGAGATCGAACTCGGGTCCTTGCACTTTCAAGGCAGGCGGCGGAACCACTGAGCTAAATCCCCAGCCCCAGTGTGCTATTTTTGTAAAATTTCAGTTTATTAGTACATGTGTGTAGTACATAAGGTTTACTTGTGGAAAGTTGGTGCATTTACATAATACATTTTAATTCCTTCTGCATCCCCTCTTCTCTTGATCCCCTTATACATTGTTGGTGGGAATATAAAATGTTACAATCAGTTGGAAAACAGTTTGGCAGTTTCTTAAAGTGTTAAAAATGAGTTTGCCATGTGATCCAGACATTATTTACTCCTAGGCATTTGGCCCAGAGAAATGAAAACATATGTCTACACGAAGACTTGCACAAGAATGTTCATAGCATTATTTATAGTACTGAAATGGAAACAACCTAAATGTCCACTGGCCAGTGAATAGATAAACAAAATGCAGAATGTGCATATAATGAAATATTGCTCCACAACAAAAGGAGACAGAATGTTGATATGTGATACAACATGAATGAATCTTGAAATATACTAAAAGACATTTTATTGTATGGTTTCATTTATAGGAAATGTCCAGAACAGGCAAATCTAAAGAGGCCATAATAAGGTTTGTGATTACCTTGGATGGAGGACGAGAACAGGGAGTAACTGCAAATACAACAGGGCATCTTCAGGGAGTGAAGGAAATAGAAAATGTTCTGGTGTAATGAAGAGTCAATTTACTAAAAATTAACAGAAGGTGAAATAACTCAAAATGGTGAAATCTCTTATGGCATGTAATTATTATTTATTATAATTATTCTCAAATGAAATTTATACATCATTAGTCATTGCAGGGTTGTTATGAATGAAAGATTGGAACCAATTTAAATGCTCACCAATAGAGGACTGGTTAGCTAACTTGGAGTGTATCTATCCATCATGGTTACACTAAAGACAGTTTTTTTTAGGTTTTATTAGGGGAAAGATGTATAGTCTGATACCATTTGTGTAAACAACAGGGGAAGTGGGAATAATGTGTCCTTCAGAATTTGCTATATTTCTAGGTTACTTCCAGGAAGATGTATAAGAAATTAGTTTGTCTCTGGAGAAGCAACTGGGTGGCTAAGAATGGAGAAAGAGGGACACCTTTTACTGCATGTTTGAACCACGTGAATTATTACCTATGCAAAAACAATACAAATTAAAATTGAAAAATCTATTCAAATGGGTTATTTGATCTTTTTATTTTTATTTTTACAATTTTCCCCAGTAGGTGGCACTCCTGAAACACCATGCTGTAAAACCAACCCCACCCACCACCCCCACCCGCTGAGGATGGAACTCAGGGTTTCACATAGGCTAGACCAGTGCTCTATCACAAACCAGCAACCTCAGCTCTTTCATTTTATTTTGAGAAAAAAACCTAAAATTTTCTCTGACAGCACTTCACCATTTGTCACCTCTGTGAAATTTGACACTGGGCTTAGGGCTAAAAAATATCTCTGTTGGGAGCGCTCCGAAATATATTGTTTTGATTTTGAGAACTGGATAGAAGGGAGAACACCTGGATTGAAAAAAGAAAAATTGCAGTTGGTCAGAGAACTAAGTAATGCTTTCAGACTTACTTTATGACTAAAACTTTTGATGGATTTATTGAATTGGAACTTCTGATTGATTGACAGGTTGATCAAAAGTTTACTATAGGCCAATAGTTCTTTTTTTCTTTTTCTTTTTCTTTCTTTTTTTTTTTTGTATGAGGGATCGAACTCAGAATCTTGAGCTTGTGAGGCAGGTGTGGTTCCACTGAGCTAAATCCCTGGCTCCAATGTTTATTTGTTTGTTTATTTATTTGATACCAGGCATCGAACTCAGGTCCTTGAGCTTGTGAGGCAGGTGCCAGAATCACTGAGTTAAATCCCCGGCCAGTAGTTCTATTTATTTATTTATTTATTTATTTGTTGGTACCGGGGATTGAACTCGGGTCCTTGCGCTTGCAAGGCAGGCCACCGAATCATTGAACTAGATCCCCGGCCCTCAGTAGTTCTTAATTAGAGGTGATTTTGCTCTGAAGAAGACATCTAGAGATGTCTGAGAACATTTTTTCTTGCCACCCCTGAAGTACTACTGAGGTCTGGTAGATAAAGGCCAAGGATGATGTTGTAGATCCTTACCACAAAGAATTAACTAGCCCCAAAGTGTTAATAGTGGATGCTGAGAAACTAATAAGGTTAAGATTGACATTCAGCATCTCTATGACTTAAGAGTCTGTTCTAAGGAGATTTACAGATACACAGAGAATTCATATTTTCCTAGGACTAGGCAATGAGTATTGATGCCAGTGTTTTTATTTATTTTTAATTTTAATTTTTTTGTGTTTTGAGACAGGGTCTCACTATGCAGTTGAGACTCACTATGAACTCACTACATAGCCCAGGCTGGTCTCCAACTCACAGCCATCCTCCTGCCTCAGCCTCCCGAGTGCTGTGATTACAGGCATTGGCTACCACACTCGGTTTGATCCGTGTTTTTAGATAAGGGACTCCACATCCCTCCTCACCCCCATCTCCCTTATCTTTGTACTTCCTTGAGAAAAGGAGGTGACTTGGCAGCATTAAGGGTACATGTGATACAAGATACTTCTTTAGAATTGGTGTTGAAGAACTCACCTACTCTGAGTCCTGAGCTCAGTTCTTCTTCAGCTGGTTTCCTTGAAGGTGACTGTATTGGTCATCTTCCCGATCCTTGAGGGGCTGAAGAGGACAGTGTCATCATAAGCTCATGTTTCTATTCTTTGTTAATGAATTTGGTGCATACTTAATGGATGCTTTTTGTGTGTACGGCTTTGGAGTGGGTGCTCCGTAGTCCTCCTACTGAAAGAGGCCTATGACTGGGAGACTGTGGATCTATTCTGTGTAGCCCTCTCAGAGTGTTCTACAGCTTGTTCTCAGTAGATCCTGACCCTAGTCTATTTCAGCCTTTCTTTATTTCTCCCCTTCTAGCTAAAGGGACAACCATCCTATTGTCTAGTATGTGGTGCCAAGTTTTTTTTTTTTTTTTTTTTTTAAGTAACTTGCCTCCATTTCAAACTTTCACTCCCACTAACTGTAGTAAAGTCTTCTTCATTCCTCATCCCTTACCTGATAGAGCTGGTCATTGGGAAGCAGAGTTTGCTTGTCTGAAGCTGAACACAAAGCAAACAAAACACATATGAGATGGAATTGTTAATAAATTTGGATTAATAATTGGGTTGCATTTGCACAATAGAATACTAAATAGCATGTGTGTCACAATGCCAGGCTAATATTTTTTTTTCTTCAGCTGGCTGCTGGCCGCACAAATATCTTAGCTTTGTTAAATTTATTTTTGGAAGCTGGATCTGGTGTTGCACACATGTAATCCTCGCACTCTGGGAGGCTGAGGCAGGAGTATCACGTGTGCAAGCCCAACCTGGGCAGTGAGTTGACGTAGCAAGACCCTGTTTCAAAAATAAATAAATAAAAATAAAAAAGAACTGGGCATGTTGATCAGTGTGAAAGCTCTGGGTTCAATCCTCAGTACAACAATAAAAAATTTTTTTGAGCTATATGCTTGTGATCCATTTTTTTGTATATAAATTTTACTGCAATAACAGAGGATAAGTAAGAGCGAGATGGACTGTGAGAAGGTAATATGCTGCCACATAGAAGCAGAGAGTTGCCTAGTCATACACATTAGCAACTCATGCCACTCTGGCTCTCCTGTTGGATCCAGTTTGGTAGGAAGAAAGCCAAGGGTCTCAGGTGGCCCCATCCCACAGCCAAGATGGACATTCTTTTACCTCTTGAGTGGCGAACTCCATCCTGTCCAGCAATGAAGTAGGCCCCAATGGCAAGGAAGAAAGTGCTGATGATTTCAACAAAGACAAAGCCCGATATGGTGGCTGGACTCAGTTCAATGCAGTTCTGACACACTGTGGGGAACAAGGCACATGCAGGGACAAGTCTCCATGAGGACAGGAATGTTGTGCTCCTGGATCTGTCTCCTCCTACCAGCAGTAATGTCTCTGCCTAGGACAGAAGGCTTTTCCCTCTGTGGGTAGTGTGGCAAGGGAAGATCCCTGAACCAAGACCTCGCTGCCCTTCACTGAGAAGCCCTGGGATGCTCAGCTACTCTTCTAGTCAGGAACCTTGTAGACTGGATCCTGTTCTCCACTCCTCTCTTCACTGCTGCTCACCTTGCAATCTCCTCTGTGTCCCCCCACAACTCCCCAAATTCAATTCACAGATGTTGCTGAACTGCTCCAATGCATGGGGCCTATCCAAAGGTAAACTAGGGTTTACAGGACTAGTTAGGTGCTTCCAAGAAGCTGGGGAAAGACTCTTGTTTTATTTATTTATTCTTTTTTTTTGGTACCAGGGATTGAACTCAGGACCTTGAGCTTATGAGGCAGGCAGTGGCACCACTGAGCTAAATCCCTGGCCCTACTTATTCTTTTTTGAGACGGTCTCACCATGTAGTTCAGGCCGGCCTTGAACTCACTATGTAGCCCAGGCTGGCCTCGAACTCACAGCTATTCCTCCTGCCTCAGCCTCCTCAGTGCTGAGATTAAAAGGCATGGGCCACCATACCTGGCTTGTCTTGTTGTACTTAAGCAGGATAAACAGATTAAGAGAATTGGCTACTACTGTAAATCATGCTTGGCGTCTATTTTCATCTTAACCCTATACAGTAAACTGACCAAAACTGATAGTAATGCTTAATTTTTTTTTTTTTTTTTGTACTGGGGATTGAACTTGGGACCTTGCGCTTATGAGGGAGGCAGTGGAACCACTGAGCTAAATACCTGGTCCAGTAATGCTTAATTTTATAACAAACAAACCAAATGAGATTACATACTTCTGTAATACACTTGGAGTGAGCCTGAAAATTTGTTTGTTTCTTGACACTGATATATTCCTTGAGGGTCCTTGGTACTACTTCCCAGATTCCATGTGTTCTTATTTGAATTTGTGGAATTTATCATATTCCCATCTTTAAACCATTTGATATTTTTGCCTTTCAAGTTACAAATCAGAAGTACAGAACCATCTTCTCGTTTGTCATCCACTGTTATCAAATCGTCCTCTGAAAAAGTAAAAGCCAAAATTCTGTTAAGGATCTTGTCTCTGAACTTCACTCTGCCTCAGGGAACCTGCCAAGAGAAGACCGTTAGAGCAGTGTTTCTCAAACTTGAACACACAGACCCTGCGGGAAATCTTATTAGACTTCAGGTCCTATTCAGTAGCTCTGCTTGGAAGAGATTCTGGATCTTAGTTGCCAATGCTGTTGGTTCACAGGTCACACTTGAAGACATATCCTCTTACAGGGTTTCTATCCCTCCTTCCAGGACCTGACAACTAATTGTCTAGCTACAGAAAAGCTGCCCAGAACAGGTCAAGGCCAGGGACTGATTTGTTTGGCAATGGAGATAGCAGCTATGTACTACCATCATTATGTCCTCTCTAAATTGTTTCTTCTATGGAACTACTATCGTAGGAAGCCACATTTCTCTCTCCTCTTTCTTTCCTTACTGTCTTTCTTGTCTTTGAGACATGGTTCCTCTATATGGTCCAGATTGGCCTTGAACTTGCTATCTAGCCTAGGTTGGCCTCATACTTGTCATCCTCTTGCCTCAGCCTCTCAAGTGTTGGAATTACAGGTGTGTGGCCTTCCGGAAGCAACATTTTTATGAATTTTCCCAAAGATTAAGGATAGAAAGAAGCCATTTCTCCTACCTTGTTTATTCTGGGCCTTGGAACCTGTAGGGACAAAAGAGAAAGGTCAGTTGAACAGGAATTGTTCCAGTTCTTTGGGGCAACCCCATGATTATTTGAGGTCAAGATCAAAAGAGGTCCTAACCCATGGAAATGACAATATGTGTATCTAAATTCACCAAATTAAAAGCAAGGTCATAATAAAGAATTTACTTGGTCTTTGATTTCCTGGGTGGGAGTCTCTAAACCCATGTAATTCTATGAGTAGTGAGAATGCCTTGTAATTCATAGAGGACCCTTAGATCATATGGCGTTTATGCTAAGGAGATGACTTGGAATGGGGCTGGCCAAGACCCATTATATGGTTAGAGGACTGGGGCTTTGAAGCCACTGGCAACATCCCTGAGGGGAGTGGCTAGAGATTAAATTCAGTTAAGTGAAAAATGATTCAATCAGTCATATCTGTATGCATAAATAAAAACTGATGGAGCTTCCTGATTGGTGAACACAACAATGTGCCAGAGGGGTGATGTGTTCTGATTTCATAAGGAGAGGGCAGGACCCTCCCAGACTTTGCTCTGTCTTCATTTTATTTCTTATATAGTAAAACTATATTAGAAAGTAAAGTGCTTTCCTGAGTTCTGTGAGTCATTCTAGTAAATTATCAACCTAAAGATGTGAGAAGCCCCTGGATGTACAATTTTTCAGAAGTATGGGTGGTCTGGGATTCTTGTACGCGTGGTTGGCATTTACAGAGAGGGAAATCTTGGATATTTTGGTACGAGCACTCGCACTCAGGACCTTGTGCTTCCCAGAAAGTGTCGGTGCCATTGAGCTACATCCCCAGCCCTCAGAGAGGAAAATCTTGTTGGGACCTTGCCTTTAACTTGTGGGATCTGACACTAACTCTGGGAGATCAGCATCAGAATTGGATTGAAGTATATGTAGAAGTACTACCTATACCACCCAGAATGTTCTGCTCCTTTAGCTGCTAAACTTCAGGCAAGGAGTGGGTGTACCCTAGACACAGCCTTTTATTTGTTTTGTTTTTTGAGACAGAGTCTTGCTAAGTAGTTCAGACTGGCCTTGAACTCACTATGTAGCCTAGGCTGGCTTTGAACTCACAGCGATCCTCCTGCCTCAGCTTCACAAGTGCTAGGATCACAGATATGAACCAACATGCCCAGTGACACAGCCTTTTAGAGCTGAGTTATTTCTAAAATAATCAGCTTTGGCAATCTATTTCTTGTAGAAAGCCTGTATATCCTAGAAAGTTAGCCATTTAAACTGTCCCAAACTCAGAGTAGTAGAGTTATATTGTAGAGTACTATGGAGACCTAACACTAAAATTCAAGTAGATATTTTTTCCTATTTCCTTTTTTAATTTTAATTTTTATTAGTACAGTTTGTAGTACATAATGCTTACATTCCTTGTGGGGAGTCTGTACAGTACATAAAACACCTTAATTCCTATTTTTTCTCCTTCCTCCTCCCTCTCTCTCTTGATCCCCTTTCCACTTGAGAAGGACCGATTTCCTTCCTCTTATCTATCTTTTTTTTTTTTTTTTTTTTTTTTTTTT